TAATGCTTCACAACATTACAACAATGCAGCCAAACAATATACAGACAGTAACAGATAATAACTGTTAAAAACAATGATAAATACAAACTCGATAAAAAAATGGAAATAGTTTTGAGAATTGCAAGTCATTAAAAATACGAAAATAATGTCAAACAGAAATGTTTTTACAGTTTTTTTTTTCTTAGATAATTTAATGTGAGGTGTTTTTGTTTGTTTTGTTTTTTTAATGTGAGGTGTTTTTCTGTTAAGCGTCACGCGCAGGTGACGCACTGACGTCTGTCGCGCCAAACAAACAAACGCGTTGGTCACGTGACCGCAAGCAGCCGCCCAGCTGGAGCAGGTCACGTGACCGCACGGCCGCTGAGCTGCAATGTCATCATCATCATATTCATCGTTATTATCGCCCTAATAAGTGATATTTCCCGACGGAGCTCATCCGTGGCGGGATTCGAGCTAATCGCGAGCGTTTATTCAATGCTTTCCGACTGAAAGAGACGCTGTTGGAGCCCAGTGCGGGACAGAAAGACGAGTGGAAGGTGAGCTGTGTGTTCGCGTGCATGCTTTCTATTGTGTTTTGCTATCGGAACTGGGTTAATAAACAATTTCTTGATGCAGTCACAAGATCATTGTAATGTTCAAGCTAAAGGAAACGGGTCCATAAGACAGAGAGAAAAACAACGTTATGCACATTTGATAGAAAACAGCGCTTTAAGTTCAAAGAAAGCGAATGCAGACACAAACACGACATAAATAAAAGCAGACAATGCTATAACCGCATGAATTCACGACACAGACAAACAGACTCCAAAGCTGTGCCACCGATATAATGTCACTGCACGTCAGAAATATTAACCCTGCGGGATGTTTAATAATGACATGCATTTATTGACATGTGTTGCAAAGATGACAGGTTGCGAAATATCACAAATCACACACCTGCGACGCATTCAAATTCAAAAAGTAGTTTATTTAGGGTCAAAGAAGGTGAACTGGGACACCTAAGATGTGTTATTTTGTGATCATTATACGAGGAAGGCTCATAATTCATAATAATAGCCTATATTAATAGACTACTAATATTTAAATCTGAAGATTGGGATGAGAGATGACTTGTTCACCTTTAATGGTGGTTAAATTGGCCCTTTTGGCATTGTTTAAGTGTTGGAAATGAAATTGTCATCATACTCATTTAGATAACTAGCTTAAAGGGCTTTTTCGCCGAGAAATTACAATTCTGCCATCATTTACTCGCCCCCTCAAGTTGTTCAGAACCTGTATGAGTTTCTTTCTCCTGTTGAACACAAAATAAGATATTTTGAAGAATGTTGGTAACCCAAAAGTTGACGGTAGCCATTGACTTTCATAGTATTTTTTTCCCTACTATGGGAGGCAATGGCTACCGTCAACTGTTTCATTCCCAATATTCTTCAACATATCTTCTTTTGTGTTCAACGGAAGAAAGAAACTCTTATAGGTCTGGAACAACTTGAGGGTCAGTAAATGATGACAGAATTGTAAATTTTGGGGTGAAAAATCCCTTAAACAAGGTAAATTTCAGTAGTCTGATCACATTGGGCAATCACAAGTGAAATAATTGTTTGAACTTCTTGTTTCTTATGGGAAACACGAGTCGTCTCAGGATAGAGTTGCGAAACGCTCTTGTTTATAAACTCAGAATCGATGTGAAATTCCTGGAGTAGCTCTGATAAGTTTGTCTCGTACTTCTCTAAAGACTCGTGCCGTGACCTGACATTCACTTTGTTTTCGTCCAGGTTGTGAATCTCTGTGAATCTGAAAATGGCCGTGTGGCAGCAGTTTGGATTGCTTCTGTGGAAGAACTATATTCAGCAAGTGAGTGTTTGTCTTATAGTTGTAATATTTGTGTGTGTGTATAGATATTGGACTTAAGGATTGATGGTTGTTGATGGTATTAAGCTCAATTTTGTCATGATTCTGGTACAAACATCCCAATACAGAGGCTTTAGGGCACTGATAAACACTACTGTTCAACAGTTTGGGGTCAGTAAGATTTTTTTGAAAAGAAAGAAATGATTTAATGCAAGGATGCATTACATTTATAAAAAGTGACATTAATGGCATGTTACAAAAGATTTCTATTTCAAATAAATGCTGTTCTTTTGAACTATTTATTCATCAAAGAATCCTGAACAAATATTTATCACGGTTTCTACAAAAATATGAAGCAGCACAACTGTTTTCAACACTGATAATCTGTTTGTTTCTTGAACGCAGTGGCCAGTCAGAAACGGTTTAGTTTGTCAGAGTTTTTATCTCAGAAATAACTAAGTGCAGACGTGAGAGATTCATTGTGCAGTTTAGAGAGCTTCATTGATAATTAAGTAACTTTGTGAGATCGTGATGAACTAAGATGAGTGATTTTAGTGATAATAAAGGGAGCGCGCTTTGCGCACTTTCTAGGCTGTAATCCATTCAGAGTTTGCATAAGACTGTTGTTTTTCGGACACATACACGCTGCAAAGTTTTGGAAAGGACATTCGTATATATATGCTGGATTCACTCTTGAAATAGCAGTGATTGACACAGTGATAACCATAGCAATGGACGGGATAAAAAATACATGTCTGAGCAGCCTCAGTGATTTAATACTGGGACCGGTCCTGGCCAAACCTCCACAGACGGCACGCGTCCCGAGCGAGATCCAGTTCACAGACCAGCAGCGTGTGTAAACTTTATTGAGATCAGGACATATCAGCCAGTAATGTCATTTCCAGTAACAGACGGTAGAAAGTTAGGGAATGAATGGTATGCGATTTATGACAGAATACAGTCCCACAACTGACCGTTTATTTTTTCTTCACGTGTCTCACATTTGGTAAAAAGACAGAAAACTTCAGTGAACAACATCAGAAAAGCAGCGTGCACATTTCTGGTTAAAAATGAAAGGCCATCAACTGACACTTAAAACGGGAAGCTTCGCCATTCAAATCAGCAGCAAGAGTCAAAGCTTGTCCACAGTTTAGTAAATGTTGGCAACTTCTTTAAGTTATTCTTGACTGTGTTGTAGGGCTGTACGATAAATCGAAATGGAATCGAGATCGCGATTCGACAGAAGCTGCGATTGTCATGCGTATCTTTCAGTGAAGCACGGTTCTGTGATCAGCAGTAAATCTCCATCCAAAGGCCAGAGGGCAGACAAACAGAAGATTCAACTGCTTTCATTGATTCAACGTGACTAATAAACACACGACTACGGCAATATACGGTTTATCTGAGTTCTTATTATTATAATTTTCATTAAAATAAAGTATATTTATAATGCAATGCCTTTATCGCTGCTTAAATACTATGAAATATGTTGCGTGCCTTATTCTGTGTAAGAAGCCACATCATCTCACAGAAAGATTTATTTCAAACACTCGACTGACGTTATGAAGTGAGTTTGGAGTAAAAATATGTTATTAAATGTGGTATTTTCACATGCTTTCAGATGGAGCAGCAGTTACTTCACAGAGCCGTAGTTATGAGAAGCTATGAGAAGCTATGCAAACAGCTGTCATTATCGCGAACGATTTCTTCGATTTCAGAATCGCGCAATAAAATCGTCTGCGATTTTTTATTTTTTCGTAACTTCTCAGTGAATTACGGCTCTGTGTAGTAAATGCTGCTCCATCTGAAAGCACGTGATGATGATTTCCTGCT